AGTCCGTCACTATGTCACCCATGCTGGAATGCAGTGCCACAATTTCAGCTCACAGCTCACTGCACACCTCCGTCTCCCGGGTTCAAGCAATTCTCCTGCCTCAGCCCTCCCAAGTAGCTGGGACTACAGGCACATTCCCTGCCATGCTGGCTAATTGTTTTTTGTGTATTCTAGTAGAGACAGGGTTTCACCACGTTGCCCAGGCTGGTCTAAAAACTCCCAAGCTCAGTCAATCCGCCTGCCTCCGGCCTCTCAAAGTGCTAGGATTACAGGCACATGAGCAACTGCACCCGCCTAATTTCATTTTCAAGTATTTTAATAAAGACTTAAGTCTACCTTTTCAGCCTCCTCTCTATTCTACCTCCATATGACTTAGCTAAGGCACATTAAGCTAGGCTTCCTTCCTTGAATGGATAGATTGGGCATCTTCCCACTTCTGCACATTAAATCATAGTCTGCTCTCAGCTTCAAGGTTCTCCCTTCACCTCCTCCATCTCCTCCACAAACCTCTCCTGAGCTGTATAACTCAGACACAATCTTTCCCCTGTGCTTTGCTGCTTCTTGGCCAGTCCTCCAGCTCCAGGAGAGCATCATTACTGTAGCTGCCTGCCCCCATAGGAGATCTTTTTGTCTCTCCTGACAAACTTGTGTTCTCTGTGGGCAAGGAACTTGTTTGATTCATTTCAGGACCTGACAGGCCCCACATGGTACCTAGTTCATGTCAAGTGTCAATCCACATTGGTTGAGCTGCTGAAATGTTGAGAAGCATAAAAAAACCAATGGCATAGAGCTGGTTTCAACAGCTTAGGAAATGCTAATCAAACTGGAATGAAGTTGCTGAAAAGGAAGAGCTTCTAGGCATAAGTAGGGCCGGACACTCTGAAATATCCATCCCCACACGAGTCACCCACACTCCCGGCTATTGGCGAATCCTCAGACAGAATGAACCATCAACACACATCAGTGTGTTGCTTCCTCCACTGCTTCCACAAAGGCTCAAAAGACCATGAGAATCAGAAAGGATCTCAGAGATACTTGCCCCAAGGCCCAGCAAAGGGAAGAGGAGCTCTCTAAGGAAGGCCCAGAAATTAGCCAACAGACCAGAATGTGATACCAAGAGTGGCCTTTCTGCACAATGCTGGTATACAAGGTTACCCTGCTTCTACACAGAGGCATTCAGAGTAAATGGCCACCAAGGAAGCCTTCTCATAGAAGATTACCACACAGAGAAGGTAACATCAGAGACAGAAGCAAAGGAAAGGAGAGAACATTTTGGTATAAATAGTGAAATTTGACTATTGACTACTATGGATTACATAGTATTATATACAATGTTAAATTTCTTGCTTTTGATCACTGTACTCTGATTATGTAAAAGAGAAAGTCCTAATTCTTAGGAAATACACATTGAAGGATTTATGAATAAAATGACTATCTGAAAATTATTTTCAAGTGGTTCAGAAAAAAAGAATATGGGGGTGGGGATGGGAAAAGAGAGAATGCAAATGAGATAAAAATAAACATTGGTGAATCTGGCTAATCGATATCTTTGAACTATTCTTGTAATTTTTTGTAAGGTGCAATTATATCAAAATAAAATTGACTAGAAAAATCAAGCTGTGATTGTATGTTGCCCTTTACATATTTACATTAAATTTTATCTTATTTTTTGAGACAAGGTCCTACTCTTGTCACCCAGGCTGGAGTGCAGTGGCATGAACGTGGCTCACAGCAGCCTCGACCTCTTGGGCTCAAGTAATCCTCCCGCCTCAGCCTTCCCAGTAGCTGGGACCACAGGTGCGCACCACCATGCCTGGCCAATTTTTAAAAATTTTCTGGCCGGGCACGGTGGCTCATGCCTGTAATCCCAGCACTTTGAAAGGCTAAGGCACGTGGATTGCCTGAGGTCAGGAGTTCGAGACCAGCCTGACCAACATGGTGAAAACCAGTCTCTACTAAAAATACAACAATTAGCTGGGCGTAGTGGCACATGCCTGCAATCCCACTGTAATCCCAGCTACTCAGAAGGCTGAGGCAGGAGAATTGCTTGAACCCGGGAGGCGGAGGTTGCAGTGAGCCGAGATGGTGCCACTGCACTCCAGCCAGGGAAACAAGAGCAAGACTCTTGGTTGTTCAATTGTTAGAGAACTTTTCGTTTAGAAGCAAAGGTTTCTCAGGTCATGAAAATTATTAGTATTCTGAAAAAAAAAAATCAAGACTGAAGTTCAAGTAACTTTCTGTAGATCACACAGTTAACTGATCCGGGAGTCAGGACTCCAGCTCAGACTTGACTGACTCCTAAGGCTCATTCCTTAGTACCACCTCTGGTTGGTACAGGAGCAAAGAGCTCTGAGGTATTGGTATCTCCTTCTGGTAGCAGTTTATCAAAGAAAGTGGATTGCTGGGACTCAGATCATTGTTAGTCAGGCTATTGGATCACTTTCATGGTGGTTGTGTGTGGACAAGTTTTCTCTCTCCAGATTCTTTATAAACTCCTGGGATCAAGGGCCATGTCTGATTCATCACTGAACCTCTCACCTATGTCATAGAATATTGCTTCTGTTCCTTAGTGTGGACGCTTCAGCCTAAAGCTAAAGATACTGTTCCTTCATTGACTATTAATTTTGCCTCTTTTTTTTTTTTTTTTTTTGAGACGGAGTCTTGCTCTGTCACCCAGGCTGGAGTGCAGTGGCCAGATCTCAGCTCACTGCAAGCTCCACCTCCCGGGTTCACGCCATTCTTCTGCCTCAGCCTCCCGAGTAGCTGGGACTACAGGCGCCCGCCACCTCGCCCGGCTAGTTTTTTGTATTTTTTAGTAGAGACGGGGTTTCACCGTGTTAGCCAGGATGGTCTCGATCTCCTGACCTCGTGATCCGCCCGTCTCGGCCTCCCAAAGTGCTGGGATTACAGGCTTGAGCCACCGCGCCCGGCCTATTTTGCCTCTTTTTGATTACTATTGAGGCAAATGTGATGCGAGTAGACCTGGTTTAATTTGAATGGAAACAGAAAGGCATAGTGGAAGTGAATGGGTTTTCAAGTAAGACATACCTGGGCACACAATGTCCTGTTGTCTTTCTCTTTGTGATAGTAGCAGCCACTGGTGATCACTGCCTAGATCCACTAATTAATTAGGGATTACAAAACAATAATATTCTAGTTCTGTCATTCTCTCTTTGTTTATTAACTTAAATACTTGTATAAAAGGAAACTCCTGGCTGGGCGTGGTGGCTCACGCCTGTAATCCCAGCACTTTGGGAGGCCGAGGCTGGCGGATCACGAGGTCAGGAGATGGAGACCATCCTGGCTAACACGATAAAACCCCGTCTCTACTGAAAATACAAAAAATTAGCCAGGCATGGTGGCAGGCGCATGTAGTCCCAGCTACTCAGGAGGCTGAGGCAGGAGAATGGCGTGAACCCAGGAGGCGGAGCTTGTGGTGAGCAGAGATCGCACCACTGCACTCCAGCCTGGGTGACAGAGCGAGACTCTGTCTCAAAAAAAAAAAAAAAAACAGAAGGGGAAACTTCCCCTCATTAACTATTCAGTTACTCTGAAGGGTTAGATTACATAGGAAACATAGGTGAAATGCTTAATTCTTTTCCTTTGGTTACCAGTTTTCAAAAACATGAGTTTGTTGCATAGCATCCTCCAAAGGTGACTAAAGAGTTTTTGTTTTTTTTTTTTTTTTTCAATTTTTAGTATTTTGTAGAGACAAGGTCTTACTATGTTGCCCAGGCTGGTCTTGAACTCCTGGCTGAGGCAGGAGAATCGCTTGAACCCAGAAGGCGGAGGTTGCAGTGAGGTGATATCACACCATTGCACTCCCGACCTCAGGTGATCCACCCACCTCAGCCTCCCAAAGTGCTGGGATTATAGGCATGAGCCACCGTGGCCAGCCTCAGTCCTGATTTTCTTATCTGTAGAATGCAAATAATAATCTCTTCCTCCCAGGACTGCTGAAAGAATTAGGTAAATTATACAGGCTCTGTATGAGTCTGCATCCTACTCCTCTCCACTCTCTAACACCTCCACTTTGTCTCTCTCTACCACGTGCTTGTCTATACACTATCATCATCATGGTCTCTCAGGGAACACTAATGTAAAGAGGTACAGGAGGAGGAGGAGTCCAGGCATTGTGGTCCATACCTCACGTAGTGTATTGTCTTTGTCCTGGCAGATTGCAAGCAGATAGATGGAGGCTTTGAAGACCACCAGTGGGGGGCGCTCGCCCTGGTCCTGCAGAGACAGGAGGAAGCTTTGCACAGCCTCAAATAATTCTGCCTCTGAGACAAACCTGTCAACCAAGAAAAGCCTGAGTGAGAAAGGCAGAGCTGGCAGGCCACTGGGCTCTTCTATCCTGCCTGGCCACATCCTTCCTCAGCCCACTGTCCTGCCCCAGCATGCCCACAGCCTAATGACATCTTACACAAACAGTGTGCTATACATACTTACAAAGCATTGCCATATACATACATCGCATTTTTCTATGCCTTGTGCAAGACTCAGGGCATAGAACAATGCCTTGTTAGGGGCCAAATACTCCTCATTCACACTTGGGAGGTGAGCTATCTGCCAGCTGGACCAGCACTGTTAAAGAAAAGGGTGCTACTGCTGGGGTTCAGAAGGCCCTGCTTTGGCAGCTACTCCACCCCTCTCTTCTTGTATTTATCATTAAACAGTGGTGTATTTAACAGATATAACACCAAAAGCATAAATGACAAAAGAAAAAATAGATAAATTAGAGGTCATCAAAATTAAAAACATTTGTGCTTCAAAAGATACCGCTAAGAAAGTGAAAAGGGCCAGGTGTGATGGCTCATGCCTAGAGTCTCAGCACTCTGGGAGGCTGAGGTGGGAGAACTGCTTGAGGCCAGGAGTTTGAGACCAGCCTAGGCAATGTAGTCAGACCTAATCTCTACAAAAAAAAAAAAAAAAAAATTTAGCCATTTGTGGAGATGCATGCCTATAGTGCCAGCTACTTGGGAGGCTGAGATGGGAGGATTGCTAGAGCCCAGGAGATTGAGGCTGCAGTGAGCCATGATTGTGCTACTGCATTTCAGCCTCGGTGAGACAGCAAGATACGAAAGGAAAGGAAGAGGAACGGGGAAGGGGAAGGTAAGGAAAAAGGGAGGGTAGAGTAGGGGAGGGGAGGGAAGAGGAAGGGAGGTGAAGGGAGAGGAGAGGAGGGGAGGGAATAGGGGAAAGGACAGGACAGGACAGGAATGGAAAGGAAGAAAGAAAAGAAAGCGAAAAGACAGCAAACAGGAGGCCAGGTGTGGTGGCTCATGCCTGTAATGGTAGCATTTGGGGAGGCCAAGGTGAGAGGATTGAGAATATACCCAAAAAGAATTAAAAACACTACTCAAACAAATACATGTACACACGTTTACAACAGCACTATTCACAACAGCCAAAAGGTGGAAAGAGCCCAAATGTCCATCAATAGGTGAATAAAAGCAAATTATGGTGTGTATATATACAAAGGTATATTATTCAGCCATAAAAGGAATGAAGTACTGATACACGATACAAACATTATGCTCACTGGATGGACTTCTAAAATGTTATGCTAAGTGGAAGAAGCCAGACACAAAAAGTCACACTTTGTATGATTCCATCTATATGAAATATTCAGAATAGGTAAATCCAAAGAGTCAGAACAGATTGTTGGTTGCCAGGAGCTGGGGAGGGAGGAGGAATGGAAGTGACAGCTTTGCAGTGATGGAAATGTTCTAGAACTAGATGAAGGTGGTGGTTGCACATTTTAAATTAATACTAAATACCACTGAATTGTTCACTTTAAAATGGTCAAGCTTATGTTGTGTAAATTTTACCTCAATAATTTTTTTTTTTTTTAGACTGATCTCGGTAACGGAAACGAGGGCGGTGGCTCAAGCCTGTAATCCCGCACGCACTTTGGAGGCGAGGCAGGTGGATCACGAGGTCAGGAAGATCGAGACTATCCTGGCTAACATGGTGAACCCCGTCTCTACTAAAAATACAAAAAAAAACTAGCCGGGCGTGGGTAGGCGGCGCCTGTAGTCTCAGCGCTACGTGGGAGGCTAAGGCAGGAGAATCGCTCAAACCTGGGAGGTGGAGGTTGCAGTGAGCCAAAATTGTGCCATTGCACTCCAGCCTGGGCGACAGAGTGAGACTCCATCTCAAAAAAAAAAAAAAAGACTGAGTCTCACTCTGTTGCCCAGGCTGGAGAGCAATGGCGAAATATTAGCTCACTGCAACCTCTGCCTCCCAAGTTCAAGTGATTCTCCTGCTTCAGCCTCCTGAATAGTTGGGATTACAGATGGTCGCCACCATGTCCGGCTAATTTTGTATTTTTAGTAGAGACAGGGTTTCACCATGGTGGTCAGGTTGGTCTTGAACTCCTGAACTCAGGTGATCCACCTACCTCGGCCTCCCAAAGTGCTGGGATTACAGGTGTAAGTCACCGCACCCGGCCAATAAATTATTATTATTAATTTATTAACTTATTTATTTTTTGGGACAGAGTATCACTCTGTTGCCCATGCTGGAGTGCAATGGCACGATCTCGGCTCACTGCAACTTCCCCCTCCTGGGTTCAAACAATTCTCCTGCCTCAGCCTCCCAAGTAGCTGGGATTACAGGCACCCACCACGATGCCCTTTTAGTAGAGATGGGGTTTCACCTTGTTGGTCAGGCTGGTCTCAAACTCCTGACCTCAGGTGATCCACCTGCCTCGGCCTCCCAAAGTGCTGTGATTACAGGTGTCAGCCACCGCGCCTAGCCCAATAAATTATTTCTTAAAGTTTAAGAAAGAACAGTCCTTTTATTTTTATATCCTTTTTGAGATGGAGTCTCACTCTGTCACCCAGGCTGGAGTACAGTGGCATGATCTTGGCTCACTGCAACCTCTGCCTCCTGGGTTCAAGCAATTCTCCTGTCTCAGCCTCCGGAGTAGCTGGGATTGTAGGTGTGGACCACTACGACCAGCTAATTTTTGTATGTTTTGTGGAGACAGGGTTTCGCCGTGATGGCCAGGCTGGTCTCGAACTCCTGACCTCAAGTGATTGGCCCACCTTGGCCTCCCAAAGCACTGGGGTTACAGGCGTGAGCCACCATGCCCAGCCATGATTTTTAAAATGTAATAAATTGGATAGTAATGATTAAAACCAAAGTAAACTGAAGTTTTTTTTCTGTGCACAAACACCACCCTCAAGGATAGCAAGGAATACTCATTGGCTTTCCAGGCCTCTGTCTCTCAGCACAGTGTCTACCCACCTGTTCTAACCCCCTTCCAAGATACGAGCCTCTCAGGGACACAACCCATTTCTTACTTATCCCTGTGTCCCCAGTGCCCAGCATCAGGCTTGGAGGGATGCCTCTGTGAATACTGAACTGAACTGCTGATGAAGGTCCCAAGACCCACCACCAGCCATCACTTTTGTGCACTGACCTGTCCTCGTGGATGTAGGCCAAGTAGAAGAGTAGCAGGATGCAGTACTGTCTCTGGCGAGCAGCTCCCTCCATGTACTGGCGATCAGACAGGAAGGCAAGGCTTTCAGGGCTCCTGCTGCTTATCTGGGGCAGCCCGTGCTGTAGGAGCTCAGACACTGCAGAGAGTTCTAGGGAGGGAACAAGTAGAGGAAAGCCACACAGAGAACATAGGAGAACAGGTAATCAGCACATTAGTACCTACTACATGCAGAGTACTGCACAGGGCAGCAAGGGTAAATGCAGTATAGAAGGAAATAAGGAAATCAGAGGCTCCTCTTCCTTTGAGCAAGGTTCAGCCTACCAGGAAAGACTAAAGTTAACAAGAGGAAGGAAATGGATATGTCTCAAAAATTAACATTCATTCTTTTTTATTTCCTTTTTTCTTTTGACAGAGTCTCACTCTGTTGCCCATGCTGGAGTGCAATGGCACGATCTCGGCTCACTGCAACCTCCCCCTTCTGGGTTCAAGCAATTCTCCTGCCTCAACCTCCCAAGTGGCTGGGATTACAGGCACCCACAACCATGCCCAGCTAATTTTTTGTATTTTTAGTAGAGATGGGGTTTCACCATGTTGGCCAGGCTGGTCTCGAACTCCTGACCTCAGGTGATCCACCCACCTCCACCTCCCAAAAACATTCATTCTTTCATTCATTTGACATATGTTCATTGAGTGGCTACTACTCTTAGGACAGACTGTGAGATCCAGGCCCTACCTCCAAGAACTGGCAGCTGATGGGAAGAGACATATAATGAGACAGGCAATTGCAGGACATGTGGTCAGCACCATATTGAGGAGGGAGTGACTCAGATCGCCTGGCATGGGGAAGGCAAGATCAAAGAGGAAGAAACTGTGGGCTGGGTGCCGTGGCTCACACCTATAATCCCAGCATTTTGGGAGGCTGAGAAGGGCAGATCACCTGAGGTCAGGAGTTCAAGACCAGCCTGGCCAACATAGTGAAACCCTGTCCCTACAAAAATACAAAAATTAGCCGGCCATGATGGCGGGTGCCTATAATCCCAGCTACTTGGGAGGCTGAGGTGGGAGAATCACTTGAACCCAGGAGGCAGAGGTTGCAGTGAGCCGAGATGGCACCATTGCACTCCAGCCTGGGTGACAAGTGCAAAACTCTATCTCAGAAAAAAGAAAGAAAGCTTTTTTGGGAGGTCAAGGCGGGCGGATCACGAGGTCAGGATGGAGACCATCCTGGCTAACACAGTGAAACCCCGTCTCTACTAAAAATACAAAAAATTAGCCAGGCAAGGTAGCGGGCCCCTGTAGTCCCAGCTACTCGGGAGGCTGAGGCAGGAGAATGGCGTGAACTCGGTGGGGGCGGAGCCTGCAGTGAGCCAAGATCGCACAACTGCACTCCAGCCTGGGTGACAGAGCGAGACACCATCTCAAAAAAAAAAAAAAGAAAAAGAAAGAAACAAACAAACAAGCTGTGGAGGGTGAGGAGAAAAGAGGCAGCGACAGGAGAAAAGAGAAAAGGAAGCGAGGTGTTCAGAGGCCCGAAGGCATGAGAAGACATGCCATGTTTCCATTCAGTGTGACTGGACAGTCAGTGAATAGATGTGGGGTGTCAGCAGCTGGGGAACTATGTGATGTAATCTGTAGCTGGACTGTGAAAGACCTTTAAGCAAATGCCACTTAAAGAAGTGGGACTTTATCCTGAGGGCAGAGATTTCTAGATTTCTTATGAAAACGGTTTCATAAAAGAAGGAATATTTTAATACCAAAAGAATAGGAAAGAAGAACAGGCATGGTGGCTCAAGCCAGTAATCCCAGCACTTTGGGAGACCAAGACAGGAAGGAAGGAAGGGAGGGAGGAAGGGAGGGAGGGAGGAAGGGAGGGAGCGAGCGAGGGAGGGAGGAAGGAAAGAAACACTACTTGAATGAATGAAGAAACAGAAAACACTATTCATGCTATAGTGAACACTGGACTCCTGAGGCCTGGTGTGGGGATGTTGCAGAGGCGACTGTCAGGAAGAAGGAACTGGACTTGATGGACATGAGGATCCTTCTCAATTCTAAGGTGCCAGGAGTCTTGGGTTCCATCATTTTACAGTTCTATTATTTCACATCCCTAGGAATCAACCTATAATAGTATCACTCCGATTCCTCTGAACAGCCTCAAGCAAAGAAATCTCATGCCTGTACTAACTCACTATCTAGTCAATCAGCAAGGCACCCAGACTCTAAAGACCAGCACAGGCCACATGAGTGGTCAAATTGTAGCATCTTACCTTCTTCAGAAGGTGGTCCTGTCTTCTCTGGAGCTGAGAGAAGGTTGAGGCACATATAGTAGAGGAAATTGGAACACACCTGGTTTAGGGCTGAGTGACTTAGAGAGGGAGAAGAAGAAAGAACAGAAGAGAAGACATTGCTACTTTGACTGGGAGAGCATTATCCCTGCCATATGCCTGGGCACCACTGCTTTGTGCCAGAGGCTAGTGAAATTCTAGCCATGGCCATGGCAGAAGACGTCCTAAGGTGGCTATGAAAAGTAAATATGGGGCTGGGCACAGTGGCTTATGCCTGTAATTCTAGAACTTTGGGAAGCCAAGGTGGGTGGATCACCTAAGGTCAGGAGTTTGAGACCAGCCTGGCCAAAATGGTGAAACCCCATCTCTACTAAAAACACAAAAATTTGGCCAGGCACAGTGGCTCATGCCTGTAATCCCAGCACTTTGGAGGCTGAGGCAGGCAGATCACGAGGTCAGGAGTTCCAGACCAGCCTGACCAACGTGGTGAAACCCTGTCTCTACTAAAAATACAAAATTAGCCAGGCGTGGTGGCGCACGCCTGTAAACCCAGCTACTCAGGAGGCTGAGGCAGGAGAATCGCTTGAACTTAGAAGGCAGAGGTTGCAGTGAGCCGAGATAGCGCCATTGCACTCTAGCCTGGGCGACAGAGGGAGACTCGGTCTCAAATATAATAATACAAAAATTTGCTAGGCGTGGTGGCAGGTACCTGGAATTCCAGCTACTCGGGATGCTGAGGCAGGAGAATTGCTTGAACCCAGAAAGCAGAGGTTGCAGTGAGCCGAAATCGTGCCATTGCACTCCAGCCTGGGTGACAAGAGCAAGGCTCTGTCTTAAAAAAAAAAAAAAGTAAATATGGAACCTGCTGCTTCAGCTGTAACTTGGACACCTGGCCCATATAGGCACTCACTAAAAATTTACTGAAAAAATATGAAGTGGGGGCTATAAGCTCCAATTTAATAAAACATACAAATAAAAAAGTGCCCCTAGGCCAGAAAAGGGCTGAGGAAGTACTAGAAAAAGCAGCAGCAGCTGAACCCCACATGGGCAGTCAAGGAGTACTTCCAAAATTTTGACTTTCAGTGCAGGTGGGTGCTTGTATTCTCTCCTAAATGTTGGATGGTGTATTCAGTATTATGGAAGGAAAGCTGGGCACTGCATTGTAGCCAGCTTGTAGGCTGGGGGAAGTAACAAATTAATCTTCTTAGTAAATACAGAAACAGGGGGCAAATCATAAATGAGAAGGTACAGAGGCTGCTCTAGAAATCTAACAAGACAGAGACTGAGGCAGCAACCTCTACTTTAACAAGAGAGTTTCTCCTCTAGAATTGGAGAGCTGGTAGAAACTAGAACATGACAGGCACTGCATCCTTTCCCCTTTGAGGTCCTCAATTTCCTCAGTGGTCTCACTCTGTCACTCCGGCTAGAGTGGGGTGAGATCATAGCTCACTGCAGCTTTTTTTTTTTTTTTTTTTTTAAAGATGGAATCTCACTCTGTCACCCAGGCTGGAGTGCAGTGGTGCTATCTCGAGAAGCTCACTGCAACCTCCACCTCCCAGGTTCAAGCCAATCTTCTGCCTCAGCCGGAGTTTCCTGCTCAATCCGTCCAGTTTCCTCATTTAAATGAGAGGTTAAACAAATGATCTCTGAAAGCCCTTCCAGTTTTGGGGGGCATTTTGGACAGAGAGACAAGGTCTCACTGCCGCTTTGACCTCCTAGGCTCAAGGATCCTCTCGCCTCAGCCTCCTGAGTATCTGAGACTAGAGGTGTGTACCGCCAGGTCTGGCTAAAAAAAAAAAAACTTTTGTGGCCAGCCATGGTGGCTCAAACCTGTAATCCCAGCACTTTGGGAGGCCAAGGCGGGCGGATCACCTGAGGTCAGGAGTTCGAGACCAGTCTGGCCAACATGGTGAAACCCCATTTCTACTAAAAATACAAAAATTAGCCAGATGTGGTGGCAGGCACCTATAATCCCAGCTACTGAGGTTCTGAGGCAGGAGAATTGCTTGAACCCAGGAGGTGGTTGTTGCAGTGAGCCAAGATTGTACCACTGTACTCCAGCCTGGGTGACACAGCAAGACTCCATCTCAAAAATATATATATATATATTTATAGAGACTAGGGTCTTGCTATGCTGCTTAAGTTGATCTTGAACTGCTGTCTTCAAGCAATCCTCCCATCTTGGCCTCCTAAAGTGCTGGGATTACAGCCATGAGCCACTGTGCCAGGCCTCTCCCAGTTTTGATGTGACAGGTACCCATCCAAGTATCACCAGGCATAAGATCCTTACCAGGCAAGATTCAATACAACCTACAGAAGCATGTTCAGCTTATTGCACCAGATGCTGAGCAAGGCAGACACTATGTCAACACCACCATGAGCTTATGACTAAAACACACCAGCCAACAATTCCCACTTGTCCCGTCAAGAAGGACATTGGCCCCTTGGCCACTCAATCTTGCCTGGGACCACACATACCTCAGACCACTGCAAAACCTGGCCTTCAGCTCCAGGGTCAGTCGTATGAAGGATGAGGCAGCTTCGGAGAAGTGAGAATAAAGCAGAAGCAGTTTAAACCAGACTTGTCACAGAGTCCCAAGCCTGGGTGGTATCAAAAAGCTCTGGTTTTAGAGTTACACAGACCTGGTTCAAAATGTGCTCCATCTCTATCTGGCAGTTTCACTCTGGAAAGGTTTTTTAACTTCTCTGAGACTCAGTTTTGATATTTGTACCTCACAGGCTGCTGTAAAGCTAAGTAAGATAAATGCATGGAGAACATCTAACAAGTACTTGACTCAAAGTAAGTGCTGCAATAAGTGCTCATTTTCTTCCATTCTGAATGATCCTCCATTACAATTTGGGACATTTGACAAGGACCTAGGAAGGGCACATCTGCTCCTTCTATCCCTTCTTCCAGTTTCATAGAAAACAATCCAGTTTCAGATGCAGAAAGAACAGGAGTAGTTACTATTTTATTCTCATCTCTAAACTGTCTGTTGAAAGCAATTGGTTCTCAGAACAGGGATCCGATAACATTATCTTTCCTTTTTTTTTTTTTTTTTGAGATGGAGTCTCACTTTGTCGCCAGGCTGGAGTGCAGTGGCATGATATCGGCTCACTACAACCTCCGACTCCCGGGTTCAAGCGATTATCCTGCTTCAGCCTCCCAAGTAACTGGGACTACAGGTGCGCACCACCACACCCAGCTTAGTATTTTTAGTAAAGACAGGGTTTCTACATGTTGGTCAGGTTGGTATTGAACTCTGGACCTCAGGTGATCCGCCCACCTCGGCCTCCCAAAGTGCTGGGATTACAGGCGTGAGCCACTGTGGCCTGGCCAGCAGTTTCTGCCTTAGCTGTTGACCCTGGCCCAGGCCCTTGTGCTTCTGGCTCCTCCCAGTCTCCCCAGTAAGGCTTTCAGCCAATACTAAACTCTGTTCTGCCTTCCCTGGGCCACTGTAAAGCAGAATCCTAGACAAAGAAGACTCAGAAGCTCCCATTTCACCAGCCCCTGAGTTGGGAATAATCTGTATTTTATCCTGGGGCTAAAGCAGCTGATAGGGAATCCCTCAGGGTTTCACAGCAACTCTCTGGGGCAACAATTTAACCCATAACTTCCCCAGGGAAGGGGCACCAAGCTTCCCTTCCAGATGCGCTCCTCTTGGCCCAATCTCTCAGGGATCCAGAGTTTCTCCACCCTCCTACTCCAGGTCTCCATACCATTCCTGGCTGGCAGTGCCTGCTTCCCTCCTCCCTCTTGCAGGTTGAACCTCTAATCCTGTGCTACCTGGCTTTATGCTGCACAGATCTCCCTATAGATCTCACAGCCTTTTTCTACATCCCCTATTCCCCACCACTGCCCCCAAGAGATCTACACTTGCCTCTCATCCAGCGCCTCAAGACTACCTCTTGGGTCCTGAAGTATGGCAGGCAGGAAGAATGTTAGAAGGAAGGGAAGAAGTGTGTATCAGTTATCACAATGGCTGAGGGATGCAGTCTTCAGGAAATCTATATAATCATCTCGTTTAATTCTCACTATTATCACCATGTTCTAGCTAAGGACACTGGAGATAAGAAAATTAATTTATGCAATCTCAATACACAAGTTAAGAGAGGTGAGAAGAATTCCAACTCATATGGGCTAACAACCACAGTCTCTCTACTGCTTCTTCCTATGAGCAGCTAATCAGATGTGTTTCCAATCCTAGGGGGTAGAAAAATCCTTCCTAATTCCATGTTCCCCTCTACTCATACCCCTGTTTCTCACCTTCCCCTCACATGAAACTTGTCAAAAGACTTGTGTATCCTGTCTCTACTGCCTCATCTTGCACTCATTCTTTAACTCACTCTGGTCTGTCTTCCATTCCAACCACTCCACAGAAACTGCTCTGGCCAATGTGGCCAAAAGCTGCCATGAAGCCAAGTCCAATGGACATTTTTAAACTTCATCTTACTTGACCTCTGGGATGCATTTCACACTCCTGACTACTCCCCAATCCACAAAACTCTCTTCATTTGGCTTCCTTAATGTCATACCCTTCTGGTTTCCTTCCTCCCTCTCCAAATGCTCGTACTTTCCTCCTCCTGACCATTAAATGCTTCTCTCTTAATTTTGTCTTGACTTCTTTCATCATTTCATTTTACACACTCAACTTTGAAGAATCTCACCTGATCCCCACTGAGGAGTCAGCCTCACAAGGACAGGGGTCTGTTTTGTTCACTGCTAAATCTCCAGCTGTAGCATGATATGTTGCATGCAGTAGGTGCCCAATATTTGTTGAATGAATGAAAGGCCGGATGCTGAAGATTTCTATACCTGTATCTAAATCCCAGATCTCTCCCTTGTCTTCAGACAATTACCCACCTAACATCTTCACTGGAACATCTCACATTCACCCTGACCCAAACTGACCGTATCCTCTACTGCCTCCCCAAACCAGATCCTCCTGCAGTGAGCCTTCTCTCAGTTAACACACCACCATCCACATAGAAGGCAGCCAGAAGTCAGGCATTACCCTGCACTGTTCCCTCTCTTTCAAGCCCTACATCCAACTATTCCATGTATTCATGGACCCAACACTACCCTTATAGTTCCCTACCACCTCAACCTGACGTTAATCCAAGAGGGCTCGAGAACATGCGTCCATCTGCCTCCTTCTTAACTCATAGGTCCACACAGCTCCAAGAAAGATCTTCTGCCACAGAAATGCTGAAATGTTGCTCCACTTCTTTAAAAATCAACAAAACCCTAGGATAAAATCCAAAATCCAGCCAAGGTTGTGGTGGCTCATGTTGTAATGCCAACCACTTGGGAACGCCAGGTGCGCCGAATCACCTGAGGTTTAGGAGCATCGAGACCCAGCCCAGCCAAACTGGGAGAACGAACCCCATCTACTACTAAAAAAGATCGAAATTAGCTGGCATGGTGGCACATGCCTGCTCAATCTCAGCTACTCCGGGAGCTGACTGCAACGGAAACTCAACTCTGAACCCGGCGCAGCCAGAGC